GGAAGTTATAAATATTGTCATGTTTTGTTTTGTTTTTTAGTAAAAAAAGGAAGACACAACTATGCACTGATGGATTTGTTAATTTATTTCTTTCAATTTTAGATAATTAATCATCTTGTTACAAAAAAGTTTCTGTTTTGTTTTCTTCCCTTTTTGTGACAAAACCAGGATTTAGCTTCGAGACTGCATGAATGGCACTTTTAATACATGAAAACTGATTGTCAATAATATTGCTAACAATTCAGATTCTAGAATCATGGCAGTTCGATTTTAATAGCTCCTTGTTGAGTTTAAATAAATAAATTAAAGAGGAATTCAATTCCAAAGTCTGTCTTTTTATGTTTTGGAGTTTAGCATGGTTTAGATCGATTGCAATCTCTTGCTTTTGCAATGCAGCCATTCAGACTCTTATACTCACAAGGAAACAGTTACGCTCGATGTGCTTCTTGGGCACATTGTTTCATATTATAGATCATCTTTGCGGCGTAGAATAACGGAAGAAAAATGTGCCAAAAAAGTCTATATTGTCGCTTTCCACTTCCAGGAAGTATCTATAAATAGAAACTTAGATTTTGGATTACATGCTGCAATAATGTGAAAAAATGTAACATTTCTGTTTTAATCACTTGGCTTGCAGATAAGCACTCTTTAAGTTAATAAAGTTCGTTCTTTTAATAAAGTTGCATGTCCAAATTCTATTTACACACTGGGGCTGGGGTGATTGGGGTTAAAACGTATTTCTGATGAAATTGTCTCGAATTCGAGTCGACTCCTCCCGACTTGGCGACGAACCAGTCAACATGTCCCTTAGTCCACTACCGAGATCAAACCCGTCTGGGAGTTCCAACCCTCCCGAGCTCGACCCCCCAACTCGTAGCACGCCGAGCCCTCTGAGGTCGTCCATAGACAATGTACCACCAAGCGGCACCTCTATACCACGTGATTCCTCTGGCCCAAGGAAATTGTAGCGTTCCATTCTGAACACTCTGATCTGGCCAGAAATATCGCCTATCCACAAATTTTCATGTGAATCCACGTTGAAACAACTTATACTGCCAGACATGTTGGCTAGAACTATAGATTGAAAGGTTGCCTCTTCGTCGACAACATGGATTAGGTTTGTCCCTGCGTCCAAAATGTAGTAGTTATCATTCTGGTCACTTGCAACTGACCGTGGTTGAAAGGGGTAGCTATTCGTGATATTTATACTATCATCCGATTGCTCAAGTCTTTTTAGCCCCCTCTTCCCAGTATATTTCTTAGGATACTTGAATTTTTTGACTGTCGATAGTGTCGTACTGTCTATAAAAAATACGCACTTCTTTGTCGTTTCGCAGAGAGCGATCTGTCCGGTCTTCTCATTAACAGTCATAGATGATACCTCATGAAGCTCAAGGTTCACATCGAGTGGTTGGATCTTCTTCAACATTTGGTCTGTGATAAATAGACCACTGTTGTTTAAATGTGTGTTATCAGAGTGACGACGCGTAGCAATTAGCAGACGACCATCATCGTACGCGTATAACGAGATGGGAACGCTGTTTTCTGTGGTTGTTGCAAATCTTAGTTCTTGTTGATCGCTCAGCAACAGAATTTCACCACTGGAAAAGGCTAATACAAGTGTACCATCACTAAATCGAGCTATGTCCTGGAGTACATTTTCGACATATTTTCTGTACATCTCCTGGCCATTACGGGAAAACTTGGCAACGAAGGGTCTGTTTGTTAAAACCCAGCACTCATTTTTGTCATCTGGAATTATCTTTCGAATACGCTCAAAATTATTGCATTTGAATGACGTACTAAGGTAAGCGAAGAACGCAGACTTCACGGTACTCCTGTAAGCATTTCCAATTCTTCGAAGAATTCGCAAATCTCGATGACCATCGTTTTCTTCGTCGCTGTCCTCGTCGAAATCGCCGAATTTTTTCTCATCCTTGTGATGATGACTTTTGTGGCAAACGCTGCAGAGGATGCTGTTACACTCATGACAGTGCTTCAGTTTTCGTACCTCCCTTGCTCCGCAAATGTCACACGTCTCCTCTTGTTGTGGCGCGGATTTAAAATAATTGTCAAAGAATCCTTGAACTCCATCTTTCGGAATGAAGACGTCCTGTCTGCAGATTGGACACTTGACGGAGGAATCTGAATTTGAAGGAGTAGCAGCTATAATGTTGTCAATACACGGACTGCAGAACGTGTGAGAGCAGGGTAGGATTTTCGGAACTTTATCTGGAGTTGAAAACTGATAAGCACAAATTGGGCAGTTTGAGTCGTCTTGTTGTTGCTGATCATCCATTTATTGTTACATCAACAGAAAAACAACAAAATATTATAATATATAAACCAAAACTCCAAACAATGTCCAAATGTTAGTTGTTACTCACATGCCGATCGAGGTTCAGAACAAAATTTTCAACATTCAGTGAAAATTTTCAAAGTTTAAAAATAGCTCATGTTGCAGCTCAAAGTCTGGGAGGGAATTATTTTTCAAGGACTAGCTGTAATTTATATTATACATATGGCACATCCTCTTCCTTTTCACCAGAGAAAAACTTCCCTGTGTTAAATAAGTCCAGAGAGTATATGGCTGAGAGACATGTATCTAGCTATAGCAGGATTTTTCCTGGTTAATGGTTTCAAGTATCACCATCCTGTAGAACTTTGATATAGAGTCAAGTGCTATGTATTACGCAATGCATGGTTAAGTCATAGGCATAAGTGTCTTATAAATATATATACTGTACTATATTTATCATAACTACAAGGCGGGGAAAAAAATTAACACGTGGGTAAATGCACGACAAGCACTCGTTCATATAGTGTGAAAGGAGGGGTGTCAGAAAAGAGTATATTTTGCCGTTAAAATTTTTTGCATGGAAAATATTATCCCCACCCACCCAATCTTCTCACCCCCCCCCCCCTCCCCCTAAAAACAACAACAACCACAAAAACGCATATATATTTTTAGCAGCAAACATGTACAAATGTTATGACACTCATTGCATTAATTCATTTTCTTTTTACAACAGTGCATTTAGAATTTTGCCATGAAATAAGATTTTGTAGTAATTCTTTGATAGTTTTTATCATTTTCCGGAATGAACGTTCATTGTCGACATCGGTGTGGTGGGGCGTAAAGGGAATGGAAAGGGAGGGGGTGTTCAAAAATCGTTGAATGATTGACGAATGGTTGTCCATTGGTTCCTTTTTAAGGGCTGGTCCCATAGCCCACGATCCCAATATAAAGTAACACAAATATAGACAGACAATTTGAAGAGAATGTGAAATGTCCAGTATGAGAAAACACAGCAGTCGTCCAAAAAATATCTACCAGAAAAAATCGGTATATCTTCAGCATGTTGGCAGATGTTTAAAAAAAAAAAGCGATGGCAGAAAATCAGCCTTATGACAAAATGTGGTGTCTCTTTATTTTAATGGAAAACTACGTTTCTTTGTTTTTTTCTTTGTACTTCTAAAACAACACTCTTTGAATGCAGAGATAAGATCTTCATACCATTATCACATGTGTCTCCTGTTATACCAACAAGGTGGCATCTACATAATATTTGAGGGGAAAAAATAATGCTTATCGATAGCAGTGTTTTTGAGTTCAAATTGGTATAACATATATTATTTAAGCGAAAACAAAACGAGAAAATGTTCTTTAACATTTAAAGTCTGCAACAATCCATGTAGCAGATGATCAGGAAGAGAACAAAAGGCCCATGAGCCACAATGCTCACCAGTAAAACCAAATTAATTTTTGAAACAACAGTATAATTTTTGTCAAGAAAAATTTTCTCAGAAAAGTTTTGTTTATTCCTCAGAAATGATTTATTTATCATTATTTCCTTTTAAAAAATGAACATTTTCTTTAAATACGTACTTCATTTATTGAATATGATTTTTATATATTCTGCACGCTTTGTTTACTCATCTCTTTGAAATCTATTATATATTATAACGATCAACATGCCACTTTGATATCTGCGGACTAACGCTTCAAAACATTTAAATTTACAAATATTTTTATCAGACATGATCTTATATGGAAGATATGATGTAAATTTAAAATTTCAGTTATTTTTTAGAGAAACAAGCGAAATCCATAGGCGTCGGAAGCAATTTGAAAGTTGGGGGGAGGGGGGGGCTAAACCAACAAAAAAGGTACCCCATACTTTCAATGCCTATATAATGTCTATCTTTGCAAAAAAAAGTGAGGAAGGGGGTCTAAGCCCCCCCCCCCTCCCGATTCCGACGCCTATGAATTCAGAGAATTTGTTTCACCTTCCTTGGACAATTTAAATTACACTTGGATTAGTGATGTCTTTATTGATAAGCAGTCTATTCATTTTTACATCAATGATTATATTTAGCATGTAAAAGTTAAAAACTCTTCGACACTTCCAAATGGCGTTTTTTGAGAAAGATTGATTAATAATTTATTTTCATACCAATAAATCTTTTGATATTTACTTGAAAAAGTATGCAGTCTGATGGAGTAAGTGAAACTGACCATGCAATGCAAAGAATTTAGTTTTCTGATCACACATTTAAAGGATCGATGGTGTGCGTAGATACAGGAGTGGATGTATATTTGAGACGTTGATAAAGGTTTGACTTATTCAACCCCACCCGCTACTTCCTAAGGCCTGGGACCCTACAGAATATAATAAAGAAGAAAAAATGAGCAAATTGGATCACCTCGCCCTTTTTCGTCACACGCTAGAAAAAAAAAAGCTGGCGTGCTACGGAAAAGGGCGAGGTGATCCGACTGTATCTGTGACGTCACTTAAACGTAACAATCAGTGTGACGCAACAATCATCACTACAACAAAAAGCGAAGAGGAGAGGCAAAACACGGAGGTAAAAGTCACCCAGATATATCTCTTTTTAGATTAATACAGCGTCATACATTAGGATATTCTGTTTCGAATACGTGTAAAAGAACTTAGGTATTTGTATCATGATAATGTGTTTTTTTTTCTTTTCGTAGAAGTAGAAAAATGATGGACTACAACGCAATTTTAGATTTCGGAGAGAACCCTGTCACAGATGTGGTAAGTTCACTTAAATTCTCTCCTATGTAATGTTTACATACTTAACTATTGGAGCCCAAACCTTAATTTGAAAATAAAAAATATATCCAATTCCAAGTAATTTAGCTATTTCTGAAATTACTTTATTTTTTGGATTTCCCAAGTATTTAAAATTATTAATTATGATCCCGAGATCTGGCCAATACCCTCTTGTTTTTATATTGTCATACGGTTCCCAAATCTGTCCATAGTCAAACGCATTTAGAGGGGCCAGTGGGATACGCCCCTGCTATTTTCAGGTTGTAAAAATAACGAAAAAAAAGCCTTGAATCTCTCTCCTGAACACCCCCCCCCTCCTCCCGGAAACACGGATTCCTCTTAAAATGATAAATATCAGAGTCATCTATCTGAAGAAAACTAAACTGACTCAAGAAAGACCCACCTGATGGGATTTTTAATTTTGCATTTACCGGTATTCCCGTCCCAGTTCATTTGACTTTGAGAGGCTGCTTCTCGGGAATGGCAAAGGAGGGGGGGGGGGTAAGGTATTCTGATTTTTTTCTTGTGGAGGTTGTTTTTGTGTTTTATTTTGTTTTCTTTTTGCTGGTCAATAATGCACCCCTGTTAGATTTGGCTTTTTACGGACCTTCTAGTCCTAAAGCAAGCAATTTCAAAAGGGGGGGGGGGGGGCGGGTATGCACAACTTGACATTTTTTTTGGACATTACAAAGTAAACATTCCTTGACATGTAATATATATATGGTCATATTTATAAGGTCATCAAAACACATTACAAAGTAAACATTCCTTGACATGTAATATATATATGGTAATATTTATAAGGTCATCAAAACCGATTATTGAGGGGTGCATTCATTTTTCCCCTTAATCATTTTTATGCATTCTGTCAAATATTTCAACTTGCTGATCAAATGAATATTTTCAGGACACAAAACTCAAGATCCTAAAGTTTGATTATTCATGGGTTGATGCTGTGGAGGAGGAAGAGAGATGTATGGAGGTACAGAAAAGAAATTATCTATGTATAAGTTACCCAATAGAAATTATCTATGTATAAGTTATATAATAGAAATTATCTATGTACAAGTTATATAATGGAAATTATCTTCATAAAAGTTGTAATAGAAATTATGTATATGATAATCATATAGAAATTATCTATTTAAAAGCTATAAAATAGAAATTATCTATGTATAAGATGAATATAAAATAGAAATTATCTATATTATACAAATTTTCTATGTATAAGATGAATATAAAATAGAAATTATCAATGTATAAGATAAATATAAGGGAAATTATCTATGTTTAATTAATAGAAATATTAGTTTACCAGTACCTTCTTGTTTTTATATTTATAGAAAAATACCCCCCTTTTTGAGTGATTTTAGGTTTTTACATTTTTCTTTTAAACAATCTATCAATCAAATTATAATTTTGTGCCATAAATGGTTTTTGTAAGGTTTTTTCTAAATAAAATTAAGTTGATACACATTTACATGCTAATGTTTCATATATCCCCATTTTTTTTTTTATCTGGAAGGAGGAACAAAAGCAGAAAAGACAGATGGAGAAAAGATTGGAGAAAGAAATTGTAAAAGAGAAGAAGAAAAACATCAACACAGATGACAACAGGTATGATCATGCAATAACTGACCCAAAAATAATTATTGTATTCCAATATGCGATATGTTCTGTTATCAATGTTTGGTGGTACATTTAATGACAGAATTTATAAAATATTGTAGTCATCTGTATTTTTGTAGAGTTGCAACACCTTTAGATTTTGGAGATGAGGCAGTGAAAAATTGGGTAAGTATATGCATTTATAATCTGATTTGTATCGATCTTCTCAAATACTCAACAGATATTGTTGCAAAACTATTTATATTTCCAATGTCTTTATCAGAGATAAAACTTCAAATAAGGTAATGGCTTTATAACCCCATGAAGAGATTTGCTCAGCACACAACACAACTTCATGCTTTTTCGCTGCATGTTGCTTAAGTAATATACCTGGCAGGGATGCTGAGATTTCCTCTAATAGCTTTATTGAAAATTATATAACTGATTTAAGGATCAGGTAAAAGATATAAATATAAGGAATAACTGTCTGGTTTTTATGCACCCGGATCGATAGATCCGGGGCTTTGTCTGTCTGTCTGTTGTCAACTTAAACTTCACCATAACTTTTGAACCATGAGAGATAGAAACTTCATATTTAGTATCCACACTCCACTAGTTAAACTCTTTCAAATAACACCAAGTCAATGACCCTGTGACCTTGACTGTGACCTATATGCTAAAAAGCTTTTTAAAACTTTCCCCATAACTTTTGAACCATGAGGGTTAGACTTCATATTTCGTGTGCACACTCCACTACTTAAGCTCTTTCAAATGACACCAAGATTAATGACCTTGTGACCTTGACTGTGACCTATATGCTAAAAATATTTTCTTTTTTTAACTTTAGCCATAACTTTTGAGCCATAGGAGAGAGAGACTACATATTTGGGATGCATACTCCACTAATTAAGTTCTTTCAAATGACACCAATGTCAATGACCTTGTGACCTTAACCTATATGCTAAAAATAGCTTTTTGGAATTTTGTTGCTGCCAGGTGCATCGTGTTTCACAAACACATCTTGTTTGTTTTTATAATGGTGATCAATTAATTTGCACGAGTAATAATTTTGTACATAAAATTTTTTGGCATTTATGCAAATTATCACGCAAGCTAATTGATTGATTACATCAGTTTTTGCTAAATAATATCCATCAGACAGGAATTCATTTTTGATAATCAAGGTTATTTACAGGTGCCTCAAAACATTTTAAGTCCAACTTTATATATTGCAGGTTTTCATGCATTTGAAGACATATATAAATTATACATGTCTATTTATGTTTAACATATTTTTTATTTGGTTGTTCTGTATTTAGGAAACAAAGCTCCAGATCCTCAAGTTTAGCTATAGTTGGGCAGATCAGGTTGAAAAAGAAGAAATAGCAGCAATTCAGGTAAAATTTTTGCTGAATGAATCAAATTTCAATTTTATAATACCACTCTGACTTGCATTTGTGATTATTTTCATTTTTGATAAGGCAACACTGACATCCCAATTAACATTTTATTTTTGTAGGAGACAAAATTTGCCGAGAAGAGAGTTCAAAATGAGGAAAATAAAACAAATAATAGAAGCTTTGGAAGAACCCTTACAAAAGAGCAAACAAATTCTCATATGGAGGAAAAGACTGGAGGTACCCTTACAAAAAACCAGCTGGCAAAGTCTCATATGGAGGAAAACAAAACAAAGAATACTGGCACTGGAGGAACCCAAACAAAAGACCTGGCAAAGTCTCATATGGAGGAAAACAAAACAAAGAATACTGGCATTGGAGGAGCCCAAACAAAAGACCTGGCAAAGTCTCATATGGAGGAAAACAAAACAAAGAATACTGGCATTGGAGGAATTCAAACAAAAGACCTGACAAAGTCTCATATGGAGGAAAACAAAACAAAGAATACTGGCACTGGAGGAACCCAAACAAAAGACCTGACAAAGTCTCATATGGAGGAAAACAAAACAAAGAATACTGGCATTGGAGGAATCCAAACAAAAGACAGGACTCATGCAAACTCTCTTTTGGAGGAAAATAAAAACTCTCCTAGGGGGTTAGTCACCTTTTTCAGTTATTTTTTAACCTTTGACATTGTTAATTAAATAAATATTAATATCTTTAAGGTATTTTTCCCCTCTTTCAATCAGTATACCCTGCAATATATTTCCACAGTAATTCTTTTTCCAGGAAGAAATAACTGAGCTATATTTTATTGTCAAGTCTGATACAATTAACTATGAAAATATGAATTTCATTTTTCAATTACATTAGGGCAATTTAATATATACATGATATAAAAGCTTGCAAACTTATTTCAATTTAATTAATTACAGGAAGCTAAAAGCTTTAATAAGAAAGCGCAAAGAAAGGGAACAAGCTAATGCGTGTATCATGGAGGAAAATAAAACAAAGAATTCTAGAAATGGAGGAATCCTAACCAAAGACAGGACAAACCCTCATTTGGAGCAAAACAAAACCAAGAATACTGGCTCTAGAGAAATTCTTACTAAAGATCAGGCAATTGCAAACTCTCCTAGGAGGTTAGTTACCCTTTCCTTACTTCTTTTCCCACTTTTGACATTGTTTGATAAATATTAACATGATTTTTTTTTCTTGCTGTAAAATGATAGATTCCAACATGTTTTCCACATTAATATTTTTCTAGTAAAATCAACTGAATCATAGTTATTATTATAACCCCCGCTTGAAAAGCGGGAGGATATATAGTAATCAGTATGTCCGTCCGTCTGTCCATACATCTGTCTAGCTGTACATCCGTCCATCTGTCTGTCTGTCACGCTTTGGGGTACCAATCTCTTATCCGCAACTCCTCTCATACCACTGAATGAAATTTGATGAAACTTTCATAGAATCTTTATTACATATTGCCATTGTGCACCTCGACACATATTGTGGGTTTTCCATAGCAAACTATGGACACTGCCTTTTTATACATATGGGAGGCGGGGGGTATCATTTAGTGAGCTCATTGCTCACAGTACCTCTAGTTTTTTTACATCAATCCTGATAATAAAACCTAGGAAAATATCGATATGGATTTTAGAATACCGTAAATCTGGAATTTTTGCAGTAGATAATTTTTTTGCAAATTTGCGAGTGCATTGCATTCACAAAAAAATTTTTCTTAAAAATAAATCACCAATAAGAAAATGTAAACAAAGCAGTGGTCATTCACTAAATTTTGAAACGTAAAAATTAATCAACAGCATTTTGACCCGAATTTGCAAAATAAAATCGACGTAAAAATTTCCAGATTTACGGTATCACTTTCTGACATATAGCTAAATTTTAAGCTTGCAAACTTATTTAAGATAATTTAATTATTTACAGAAAGCTATCAGCTTTTATCAAAAAACGCAAAGAAAGGGAACTTGCAAAGGCCTTGATTGAAAGAGAAAACATAAAGAAAGTACAGGTAAAATGATCAATTCTATATTGAACAACTGTGATTTACTTGTCTGTTTAAACTTTCCTGAAAGCTATTTAAATGGAATAAGAACCAAAGTTGCAATAATAAGATTATTATTGAGTATAATAGGAACAAAAGGGTAAACAAACCATTTCTTCCATTATTTTAGGCTTCTGATTCCACAAAACAAAAAGATCCATTGGATACGAAAAAGGCATTAGATCTAGAAGCATTTGGAGATAAGAAGGAATCCCTTGTTCCAGAGACTCCAACGGATGTAAAGAAAGATGGTCATACACTGGAGGAGCTCTTGAAGGACAAAAAAATAGCAACATCACTTGGAGATACTGAGAAATCAGTAGTGTTTGGTGCAAACATGTCTCAGAAATCAATTGCCAATGGATCAGAAGCATTTGTCAAACCAGCAGTTCAGAAAAAAGCATGTGACAATCAAGGAGTCCAGGATAAGGTGGGTGAGGATAAAGTGGACAGCAAGCCAGATATCAAGAAGGAAGTGGATGAAAAAACAGAAATGAAGGAAGAAGTGGATGAAAAACAAGAATTCAAGAAGGAAAAGGACAAAACAGATATCAAGGAGAAAGTGGATCATAAACCAGATATCAAGGAGGAAATGGATCATAAACCAGATATCAAAGAGGAAGTGGATCATAAACAAGATATCCAGGAGGAAGTGGATCATAAACAAGATATCAAGGAGAAAGTGGATGATAAACCAGATATCAAGAAGGAAGTGAATCATAAACCAGATATCAAGAAGAAAGTGGATCATAAACAAGATATCAAAGAGGAAGTATATAATAAACCAGATATCCAGGAGGAAGTGGATGATAAACAAGATATCAAGAAGGAAAAGAACAAAACAGATATCAAGGAGAAAGTAGATCATAAACCAGATATCAAGGAGAATATGGATCATAAAAAAGATATCCAGGAGGAAGTGGATCATAAACAAGATATCAAGGAGAAAGTGGATGATAAACCAGATATCAAGAAGGAAGTGAATCATAAACCAGATATCAAGGAGAAAGTGGATTATAAACCAGATATCAAAGAGGAAGTGTATGATAAACCAGATATCAAGATGGAAGTGGATCAAAAACCAGATATCAAGGAGAAAGTGGATCATAAACAAGATATCAAAGAGGAAGTGTATGATAAACCAGATATCCAGGAGGAAGTGGATGATAAACCAGATATCAAGAAGGAAAAGGACAAAACAGATATCAAGGAGAAAGTAGATCATAAACCAGATATCAAGGAGGAAGTGGACCATAAACCAGATATCAAGGAGAAAGTGGATGAAAAACAAGAAATCAAGAAGGAAAAGGACAAAACAGATATCAAGAAGGAAGTGGATCATAAACCAGATATCAAGGAGGAAGTGGATGAAAAACAAGAAATCAAGAAGAAAAAGGACAAAACAGATATCAAGAAGGAAGTGGATCACAAACCAGATATCAAGGAAGAAAAGGAGGACAACCCAGAAGCAATGAGATTAGAAGTCAACGAAGATCAAAAGATGACACTTGAGGTATATAATACACAGCATTCACATGTACTTTGCAGAAGAATTATGAATTACAATTATGATGGCAAAAGAGACTTGTAAAAATTCTTATTCATTTACATACTTTTAATGTCCTTTCTATACTTTTTGAAAGTTATTTAAAAAAATACTTTCAGCTTTTGAATAAGGATGATGATAAGTATGGTGATGATGAAGATGGCAATGCTGATGATGATGATGATGACGGATTGTTTGGTCCAAGAAAGCTATTCTTCTTTGGCATAGATTATTTTAAGGTAAAGCAAAACTACATTACTTCATAACTTTCTCAATTTGAATAGTGAGAAGAAGAAAGTATTTTATTTTTAATGACAATGTAAATTATTAAATTGCATCTATATATTTATTGTCTTCACAAATATTTCAAAGACTTCTAATCAATCAAAATATAAAGAAAATGTCATTCCCTTCCATCCTTATGTCAACCATGCATATAGTTCAGGCTATTTTTACATAGTAAATGCAAATGATTAAATTCAGTTCTTGTTAAAATATTTCATTAATAATTTTTTCCTAATTTTTCATCCAATACAGGATTCTGGAAAAGCCACATGGCAAAAAGAAGCAAGAGAGAAAGAATGCAACAGATAAAATTTAATGAAACTACTTAAGAAATAAATTTTTTCTCACAAAAATAAAATTAATAACAGAACTAAAGGTTTTGTTCTTTTTGAAGACATATGTAAGGAAGCATCATTGATTAGGTCCCTTGCAAAATCTTCCATGCAGAAATGAGGCAAATCTGTTATGGATCTACATGTAGTGTGACAAATAAAGTTCTGTATGAAAATTATCAGACATTTTGTGAACCAATTTATATTTCAGTTGATATGTGTGCATCAACTCTTTTGTTGAACTAAAAGTAATCTAAAGGAAAAATGGACACTTCAAATTGGAAAGACAAAAATATCTTAATTAGTTAATAACCACGAAGGAAATGCAATTACATAAAAACATAAAGTTCAAAGGCCTTGACAGTCATTTGAGTATAATACAAAAATGTAAGAAGTATAAAATGAAATAAACTGATAGATGAAACCCAAAACCAAGAGGAATCTAGCATCTAAAACAAGCCTGGTAGTGTGCATACTTAGGTGTATCATCCATGCAAGATTAGTCATAGGGTTTAAAGTAGTGTCGAACGATGCAAGTATCGGTTAGTAAAACTACTATTTGGTTACTCGAAAATACAAGATGTGTTTTTGAAACACTGATGCCCCCGTATGGCAACATAGTGAAGGTTAAGCTTTCTTAATTGCAGATAAGCAGGTACGTCGGTACCTATAGTAAGGCCTTTCACAAGAAATACAAGAAATACAAATATGAAATATAAAACCCTAGCACTACCTGTTCAAAGGTTATGACCAAGGTTAACGTTTTTAAAGGTAGGACAAACTCTGGGGTCAAGGTCAAAGGGTCAAGGCTGTTGGTTTCTAAAGAAAGGCCTTGTCTGAAAGATTACATACGGGAAGTATGAAAGTGCTGGCCCTTACCATTCAAAAGATATGGCCAAGGTTAACGTTTGTAAAAAGTAGGTCAAACTCCAAGGTCAAGTTTAAAGGGTCAAAGTTGTTGATATCCAATGAAAGGTCTTGTTACAAGGATTACATATGTGAAGTATGAAAGATCTAGCCCTTACTGTTCAAAAGATGTGGCCAAGGTTAAAGTTTGTAAAAAGTAGGTCAAACTCCAAGGTCAACGTGTCAAAGTTGTTGATATTCAATGAAAGATCTTTTTACAAGGATTACATTTGTGAAATATGAAAGCCTAAGCCCTTACAGTTCAAAAGTTACAGCCAAGGTTAAAGTTTTATTGCAAGTACAGAAATGTCCAAGGTAAAGGTCTAAAGGCCAAAATTGTTGGTTTCAAATGAAAGGTCTTGACACAAAGAACTGATATTTGAAATATAAAATTCCTAGTATCTATTGTTTAAGAATTAGGACCAAAGTAAAAATTTGGATTTTTGTGTAAAAATGAGTCAAACTCAAAGGTTAAGGTCAAAGGGTCAAGATTCTTGATATCAAAATGAAAGGACTTGTCACTAGTTCTAACCCTTCAAAAATTATGCCCAAGGTTGTATTTGAAGAGTAGGTCAAACTCCAAGGTCAAGGTCAAAGGGTCAAAGTTCTTGGTATCCAATAAAGCGTCTTCTCACAAGGATTACATATGTGAAGTAAGAAAGCCCTAGCCCTTACCGTTCAAAAGTTATGGCCAATGTTAAAGTTTTTTTCATAAGTACGGGAATCTCCAATGTCAAGGTTAAAAGGTCAAAGTTATTGGTACTCAATGAAAGGTCTTGCCACAAAGAATATATGGTGTGAAGTATAAAAGTCCTGGTCATTTTTCTACGTTGAAATTTGACCCCCTGGACAATATTCTACGTTAAAAAAGGACCAATTTTTTTGTAGAAATTATGGCCTTGGGGTCGTTTTTCTCCGTGTGCACTGTAGGCAAATGACTTCGTAGAATAATGACCCCTCGTCATTTTTTGATGCAAAACATTCGTTTTGGTAGGAATATTCTTGTAAGGCGTTATATCCAGCAGCCTGCTTATGATATGTAGTGTTCATTTCTAAAAGCTTTGAAGCTTAAATAACACGTGTGCTTGCTTAGAAAATTAGAAACAAGATGTGTTTGTGAAACACTGATGACCCCGTATGGCAACATAGCCGCAAAGATTAAAGTTTTCTTAAATGCCAGTTTAATTAATTGGTACAAAAATAGGGTATTCTCTGTGGAAAACAATTGTGAAATTTGAAAGTAGGCCAATGTTAAAGTTTTTTTTCAAAAAGTACAAAAGTCTGTCAAGATCAAAAGGTCAATGTAATTGGTATCCAATGAAAGGTCTTGCCACATAGAATACTTATGTAGAGTATGGAAGCCCTAGCCCTAACCGTTCAGAAGTTATGGCCAAGGTTTAAAATTTTTAAAAGTAGGTCAAACCCCAAGGTCAAGGTCAAAGAGTCAAAGTTCTTGTTATCAAATGAAAGGTCTTGTCACAAGGATTAAATCTGTAAAGCACTAGCCCTAACCGTTGAAAAGTTATGGTCAAGGTATCAATATGTAAAGTCGTCAGTTTACATATTATATTTATGTTTATAGTTTTTTTATCCGTCCATCCGTCTGTCTGTCCGCAAAAACTTAAACCTTGCCCATAACTTTTGACTGGATGGGACTATGGTTCTTATATTTCATGATCACAGGTGTATTTTTTACAAGACCTTTCTTTGGGTACATTTTCTACCTTTTGACCTTGGAGTTAACCGTATTTGTATTTGCAAAGTTAGTGTCTAAGAAATCTCAGAAGAAGAGGATGTTACAGCAACCATTTGTCAGGTGTCTGTAGGCTAAAAGTGTTGAAAAAGGAAGTTTTTTTTAATGAATTTATAGTTATGTGTGAACTATTATTCACTATTTATTATTAGATGTACATTTTTGCCCGCTTGGGGGATTTTTTTACATCATTATAAATCATTATAAGAACGTTCTCGATGTGCATAGGCGTCGGAACCGGGGGAGGGTAGAAGGGGGGCTACCCCCCCCCCCCCCACTATTTTTTGCAAACATAGACATCGCCACACTTTCAACAGACACGGTACACATTAGGTCAAAAAGGGTAAATGAATGGAGTTGGAAGAAATTTTGCTACTGATAAAAGTTCGATCCTACCCCCCCCCCCCCACACACACTAAAGAAGTAGACAATTCCACCCTATTTATTTCCTTTTTTTTGTAGGTTTGCAATTTTTTCTTCCAATTACCCCCCCCCCCCCCCCCAACTTTCAATTTGCTTCCGACGCCAATGATGTGTATGGTATTTCCCGTACAGGTAAAAATATAGTACGCGTACCTTAAATTAGGTATTTAAAAATGTATTTTAAAGCAGAATGCATACAGATATATGTAAGTATAAATGTAAGAGCTAAGGGAATTGAATTTATATAATTAAATTTATTACGTTGCTTTTCTTGCTTTTATGGTATATTTTTGGATTTGTGAAAATTTTCAAATATGAATTCAAATGGTTAAAAGTGCTAATTTCGGGTGCCTCCCTTCAAGTTTATGGTTATCAGAAACAAATCATGCCATTTTCGGAATGAAACCTTTGAATGATAAAAAAAACTCCCAAAAATATAAATTTATGCTCCTCGATGAATTAATATTAATTGGGATTCTGCAGGCCAAGAAAATCCATACCAGATACATTGATTATATGATGCTGCTATTAAAGATATGCTATCAAATATATTTTGGAAAGGAGTAGTTCACCCTCCTTACATTTGAAAGTATAAAGAAAATATCATGGGTTTTATTGTAAAAAGTGGATGTCATTTTTCAACATGTGTGGACTCGTAGAATTACTGGTCTGGAATGTTTTTCCTACGATCGAAAAACGACCCTACTTGTCGTAGAATATTGACCCTGAGTCATTTTTCTACGTAGAAAATATTCTACGGTCAATATTCTAAGGGGGTCACTTTTCGTCGTTACAATGGCATAGAAGTACTTAAAAAGCAAACTGCTCCAAAAAACTGTAACCTGGGACGCCGACGCCGAGAGTATCACACATAAACTTCCCCCAACTTCGTTGAGGTGAGATAAAAATTAAAAGAGCATGAATTACCGGTATTCCCTGTCCAGTAAAAGAGGAACACAGCCTGAGCCACCTAAAAATATCTAGCAGAAAAAGCAGTATATTATATCTTTGATTTGTTTGCAGATGCTTATTTTTATTAACAAATGACGACAGGAAATAAGTTTGATGACAAAAAGTACATGTACATGTCATTTTTTCAGAGTTCTTTTAGAGCTACAGTACAGGCAACGCGGATCCCGTATTAGACCGCGTCCCCTCCGCGGTGTATTAATCCTTTCCGCGTTACACCGTCGCGGGTTTTGATCGCGGTGCTACCTGAGACCGTGTTTACACCGCGGCGGGGCCCGCTACCGTTATTCTTCAGCTTACATGTTCTTACCTGTAAAGTATTGTCGATTTTTAATCGTGTCGAAATGAGGGGGGGGGGGGGGGGGGAGGATTACGACCACATTAAT